GTGCCCGTCTTTGATTACTCATCCAAAAGAGAGTCATTCGATTTAAGTTTTAAATTAAAAAGCGCCCAAGTTTGTATCTGTTGATTCTGTTCGTTCTAGCACAGAAGTGCTTGGTGCAACTCAAATTATACTTTGTGTAACTTTCTACTCTCTCCGTCCTGTTGGAATGTTCCCGCTTTCCTTTTTTGGATGTCCCGTTGGAAAGTTCTCATTTCCCTAAATAGAAAGTTATCCTACATCAAAACAAGGTCAAACAGTGCAAAACAGTGTCAAACAGTGTCGAAACAGCTAGTGTCAAACCGTGTCGAAACAACTAGTGTCAAACAGTATCAAAACAGTGTCAAAATAGTAAAATTTACCCTCTGGTAAGTTTATTTCCTTAATATGTGTATAGGTCAACCCGGGAACATTCCAACGGGACGGAGAGAGTAATATTTTATGTAAATGTCGTGATAAAAGATATAAATAAGTACTCGTATTAATAATGTGTAGGATGTTGTAGTATAGATACTTTATATCGTGACTCATTATCGGGTAAATAATACATCCTGAAATTCCCCTTAGTTTACGATATTTGACTGACAATAAATTAATTTGATCCATGTTCACAATCAAATTATTTTTAGTAAATAAAATTTACATATTCAAAAACTACATTAATTTTTTTTACAAATCCTAATAAAAACAAATTATATTTCAAGAATTCCAGGCGAAGGAACCCGGGCCAAGCTGCCCGACAATTTTTTGAGTCATTGACTTTGTATCATGATTCCATCGTTTCTGGAGATCTTGTGTAGATGGGCCTCGTCTGGCCGAGGTGGGTATTCTAGCAACTGTAGGGAGTCGTGTGTATCGATGAGTATGTGGATTGTGGGTCCGAACCCATATACTTTATCAGGAGTTCCTCATTCTTTGAGCTGATAGATGTCAAGGTGAGAGGGAGTAGAGCATCTTGTGATTTGTAGTTTGGTGATTTTGCATTTTCTGAGATTGGCCGAGGCATGGGTGCTTTTAGCTCATGAGGGGCTTTTGTCCTTTAATGTTTGTTTCTCATTTTTGTTTTTGCCAAGGTGAATTCCCTCAGTCCCCCAATCATTTGAGTCAAGAGATGCTTTTGGGTTGATGAGTAGATAACATTTACGTCGATCTGCCACCTGCAAATTGGCAAGGGATCCAATCTCTTCGGCGAAGCTTGACCGAGGCAAGCCTTGGGGAGAATCTTTGGACGAAGGTAGCTGGCCAGACACCATCAACGATAGATGTGAATTGAGGTGTGTATATTTATATATTTTTAATTAATTATACCTATGGATGATGTTGAGACGTGATCTTTCGAAATCGAGATGTGACTGTTCGAGGGCGTGTTGTTTAAAATGTAGTGGCTCGTGGACAGGGGGCGTTTACGTGTTGTGACTGCGGAGCCATGTGGCATGTTAATGATAGAGTATAGTTCTAGATAGAAGGGAGGGCTTAGAGAGATAAAGATATGACCTTAAAGATTTTCAGAACCCTTTACACTTACCCCAAGGGGGTATTTATAGAAAAAATATGGATTGAGTTCTCAAGCCTGGGAGACCGAATTACAATAATGGGCCTGATGGATAGTGTACCCGGGGGTAGCTTATCCGAGGGGTTATTTCGGGGAATAACAAGAGAGAAGTCAGAGCAAGTAAGTATGGAGAGAGAAAGTATATTGGAGAGTGTTCAGCGTTTTCAGCGTGTTATGACTTGTGACTTGGTTACAAATGGGGAAATGGGGTGCTATTTATAGTAGCAATAAATGTCGGACAGGGACACGTGTCAAGCGCCCATTGGCCGAGAGGTCACCTAAACTGGTTGGCGCTGGCAACCGCATGTGGCCGCATTTAATGCGGCTGTTGGATGGGACGTTGTACAGGGTACAATGATCTGTACGCATGTGGCGCGGATATCTTGTCGGGGAAGGTACCCTCGGCTGTAGAGGACTAGCCGAGGGCTCCGAGTACCGGGGACCCCCTTGGTGCCGAGGGCTCCAGGTGCCGAGGGCTACTGATTTTCGCCGTTTTCCCCAGTAACTTTGTTTTGCTGTGTTGGCCCTCCTGTGAGAGTTAGAGCCTTCGGCCAGGGGGCCGAAGGCACCCCTGGTGCGCATTGTGGGCTGCTTGGTACTCTGGGCGCTGTGATTTTGGCCTGTTGTGCTTTCTGGGCTTGCTGGGTCTTTATTGGAGTGGTAGGAGTCTGTGGGCCGGGGGTTCCCGGGCCATATACTCCATCAGGAGTCCCTCACTCCTTTTGCCGAAAGGTACTTGAGGGAAAAGGAGTAATTGTGTTTGTCCTCTGCCGTTGTTTCGTTTGTAGCTTGTAGAGTTGTGGGTAGTTTGCTGTTTGTTTATTCTGCCGAGGGCAGTCCCTCAGTTACCCACATGTCGGGACTTGAGGGGTCATGTTTGTGATTTTTTGTGATTTTTCCTGAGGGGGTCCTCCAGTCCCCCACTCCTTGAGGCACTTGCAAAGTGGTGAAAAGGAGTAGAGTAGTTGTGTTGCTGTTTTGGGCCGAAGGCTGACGCTTTTCGTTTCATTTTGGGGGGATGCCTCGTTAAAAACCTCATTACGAAAAACCCTGTGGGAAGAAATCCTAATGAGAGAAAAAGAGTGCACCGAATTCCCCCAACGATGAATCGAAAATGTGAAACCTTGGTTCGAAATGGAGAATAATGTTGATGTCGAAGGCTTTCCTTGTTCTGAGGGCTCATGCGTTGATTAGCCGGAGGCTTGTCGTTGATGTCCTGGGAGGTGCCGAAGGGGAGTCCCTCAATCCGGGGATCGAGGGCATAATGAATGCGGGTAGTAGTTGAATTGTTACCGTGGTGTCCTCTGTCTGTTGATTAGTTGGTGATGAGGATATTCGAGGGCTCCTATTACCTGTGTGCCGTAGACTACCTGTTAATGAGGCGTACTCCCCGGGGGCTACCCGACACTCAAAGTGCTGAGGGGGGATCCCCGAGGGGTGGCCTGATATGAAGCCTTAGGCTTCTACAGGAGTGATCCCGAAGGCATCCGTTATGTAGTGTGTGGGGCACAAACCGGGAGTGTCTCCGGGTAAGTGTACCCGGAGGCTTTTCTTGATGAAGTGGAGTGAAGTGAAAGGCCCGGGGGGTCCCAGAATATAGCCATTGGAAATATAGCCGTTGGAATATGTAACGTCAGGATATAGCCGTTGGGTGGGGGTGGGGGGGGGGGGGTTGCCACGTGGTGCGTGCTCGTTGGCTGCCCGTGGGCGGGCGTCACCGATTGGGCGAAACCGCGGTCTGTAATGATGGCAGTCCAACCGGAGGCCCGGTTTCAAGGCCCAAGCCCGGATCCCAGCGCCTAGAATTACCCCAAGGCCAGGGTCATTCTCCGTTGTGCGATTTCAGTGTAGCGAAGCTCTGGCAAAATTTTTGTAGAGAGAGAAACCTGCCTTCGGTTGAATCCTCAACTCTCAAGGTCAGTTCCCCATTGCTCTTCTCCTTCTAGTTAGCTGTGCCCTGCGTCTTTAGGCTAGGAGATAGCACTTTTAGAAAACTCTAGTGTTTCCGAGCCCTCGAACGAGTGCATAGATGTCGTCCCAAAGTGATTCCCAGGACATCTCGGGGGCGCCCTCGATGGAGGATGAAGTCATCTCGGACGTGGAGTCCTCAAGCGAACAGCCCTCAGTGGGACAAGACGCTATTGTCGCCATGGAGCTGCAGAGAGCCCTCGTCGCTGAGGCGGAAGCCGAGGGCTTCGAACAGGAGTGTGAAGATGAAGAGCTGGCCCTCGCCTGGCAAGCAGCTGAAGAAGAGGCGCAGAAAGAGGGCGCGAGGGTCACTGTTGCTGTTTCCCCCCCTCGGGGCACTGGCGAGGCCAGCACCTCTCGGCCGCTGAATGCGGTTCCCATCCGGGTGGCCCCCGGGAAAAAGAAGGCCAAGGTCGCTGCTCCCAAGAAGAAGGGCAGCGTTGCAGACCAAGGGAAGCCCCTCGATATGCCTGAGGGGTATTCATACTTGAATACTGCCGCCTTAGAGATAAGGTCGAAAGCTCATGCGGCGGATATTTACGTCACTCAACTACACGTGGGCCCCTTGGCCATCGTGGTGACACAAGGTCCCGATGACGTCCTCTCCCGGGCTCCCGAGGGCTGCATTGCGGTGCACATTCTTTCCGTGTCCATGGGGCTCCGGTTCCCCCTACACCCCTTCCTCCGGGAGTACCTCCGGTTTGTGAGTTTGGTCCCCTGCCAGCTGACCCCGAACAGCCATTCCTACATCACGGGGTTCCTCCAGCTCTGCAAGTCCCGGGGGGTAACACCTAGCCTGGATCTCTTCTTCCAGAGCTTCAACCTGTGCCGGGGGGGGGGGGGGGGGCATGCGAATGCCGAGGGCTTCGCAAATTTGTAGCAAGTGCGCTGTTCAAGCTCTTCACTGAGGCGCCGTCCTCGAACAAAGGGTGGAAAGACCGGTGGTGCTACGTGAAGCTGGCCGAGAGCCCCTTCCCGAGGGAACTGCGTGATCGGTTTAGGAAGCATGAGAAGAGGAGGAGCGCCGCCCTCGAGAAAGACGGCAGGATCCTGGCCAAGATCCCGGAGGGCCGGGACAAAAACATAACCATCAAGGAGTGCACCCAAGAGGAGGACCTGTACACCCTCGGGTTCAGGCGGTACAGCTTTCTGGGGGAAACGGACGAAAGGTTCCCAACTTTTGAGAGAGCCTCCGGAGGTAGTGGCTGAGGGCATCCTTTAGACTTATGTATATTTAGGTGTAGATATGCCTCTTGTTGCATCTTTTCTCCTTCGGCTTTAACCGTTTGTTATTTTTTTCAGGTATCAACATGGACCTCAATGCCTTCGCCAACCTCAAAAAGCAAAAGGTGAAAGCCCCGGTCCAGAACGAGCCCGTCAAGCAGAAGCCCCTCGGGGAGCTGAAGAAGGGCAGTGAGCCCTCGGGGGAGGTTGCAAAGCGGAAGGCCGCCGGCAAGGCCCCAATCCCCGAGGGGAAAAAGCAGAAGAAGGGGGACGCCGGGAAGAAGGCTCCCCTGGTGGTGGTGGTGGACGAGCATTCCGCCTCCGAGCCCAGTGCTCCAACTGCTCCTTGCCCGCCCTCGGGTAAAGGTGGTGAGGCAAGCTTGCCTCGGGAGGACATACAGTTCTCCCTGCCGAAGGGGGCAGCCATTACGCATGGCACAGTAGACCCCCGGGAATTTTTGGGTGGGGCTACGCCCGCTCTGGATAGGCGGGCCCTCGGGAAGCTCGACGATGAAGCCCTCGAGTCCAAAATCCTCCGGTCCTCCCTTACCGTAAGTTCTTCTCCTTCCTTTCTTCTTCTTTCTTTTTCCTTTGCATAGTGGCCTATGACTTTATCTGTTGTGTGATCATAGTTTTAACCCCTTACTTTGTTGTTTGTTTAAACAGGCCTGCATAGCCCTCGACGAACACGCCAGGAGGTTCGACGAGTGGCGCCTCCAGAAGGCGCAACAGGAGGAGTCCCTCAAGAAACTCGTTCATGACAATGCCGAGGCCGTGAGGCAGATGGCTCAGCTGGAGAGGGACCTCCAGCAGGCGAGGGCGGAAGCAGAAAAGGCGACCAAGGAAAAGGTGGAGGTGGAGAAGGCGGCTGCCGAGGCTGCAAAGAAGGCCCTTGAAGACGCCGAGGCCGCAAAAGCAGAGGCCGCCGCCGGCGCAGTCGCTGCCTTCATGACCGAGGGCTGGAAGGCCGAAGGCCATAAAGACTGGGTGGCCTCGGTCATGGAGAGTTCTGCTGACGGGTGGGTGAAGGGCCCCGGGGCGATGTGGCTAGCCCGAAAGGGTGAAGATTACTATGCCGGGGGGGGGGGGGGAGTTCTTCACCCAGGCCTTGATCTACAGGAGGCTCGCACGGCACCTGAAAATAGAGCCAACGGCCTTCGACCCGGCGGCATACGGTACCCCCCCCTCCAGCCTGATATCAGAGTCCCCCTTCCCGAGGGCGTCGAGAGGCCAGAACTGGAGGATTCCGAACTCTTGAAAGAGGCCGAGGGTGATGAGGCAGAGGCTGATACGGAGGTCATCTCAAAGCCAGCGGAAGAGGCTGCCCCCGGAGCTGACAATATATGATCTGTATTTCGTAGTGTTTTGAACATCTCTTTCTTTTTTTTATGTAATGGACATCTGTGTACTCTCGGCCTCGGCCATTTTGTAACATATACTCTAATTCTTCCCTTAATGAATGAATGCTTGCCTTCGGGCTTCTTGTATATAATTTGTCCTCTTTAATTCATTTCTTCTCGAATGTATGTCGTCGTTTTCTTTTGAATGTATGCCTTCGCCCTTCTGAATGTATGTCTTCGCCCTTCTGCATGTATGTTTAGGACTTAGAATATATTCTTCCAAGTGTAGTGCTTCTTGTAGCCCTCGGCCACTGAGTATATTGAATCAGTTGAACCTTTCACCGAGGGCACAATGTTCAGGACTTAGAAAATATTTCTAAGTGTTTGTTCATCTGTTGGCCCCCGGCTGATCCTTCCCTCCGGTTCTATGTAGCCTTCCTGAGATGACCGGAGGTGAGGTGCTTAGGACTTAGAAAATTTTCCTAAGTGTTTCAATACAGTTTTAGCCTTCGGTAGTTGGGCATCCTTCGCTGGATGTATGGCCGAGGGCCCAGCAATAGTTAGGACTTAGAAAATATTTCTAAGTGTAGTCTCACCAAGCCTTCAATCGTGTGACCCCTCGGGTTGCAGGGAGATTCGAGACTTAGAAACTTGTCACCGAGGGTAAGAGCTTTTGGGACTTAGAAATAAATTTTTATAAGTGCAGCATGTATGAAGTAGGAGCCCTCGGGCAGCATGGAGATTTGACCGAGGGTCAAAGTATGTAGGACTTAGAAAAATTTTCTAAGTATAGCTTCACCAAGTCTTCAACCGCATGGCCCCTCGGGCAGCATGGAGATTTGGCCGAGGGCCAAAATATGTAGGACTTAGAAAATATTTCTAAGTGTAGTATGTGTGAAGTAGGAGCCCTCGGGCAGCATGGAGATTTGACCGAGGGTCAAAGTATGTAGGACTTAGAAAAATTTTCTAAGTATAACTTCACCAAGTCTTCAACCGCATGGCCCCTCGGGAAGCATGGAGATTTGGCCGAGGGCCAAAATATGTATGATGGAGTATATGGGTCTGAGCCCCAGGACCCACATACTCGGAAGAACAGAGCACAAGACAACAGAGTGGCGCCCTCGTCGGCCCAGACGCCCTCGTCGGCCGAGAAGAAGCCAACTCGGATTATGATCCTGAGTCCAAGGAACCCGGGTGCCCCCGTCGGCCGTGCCCTCGTCGGCCGTGCCCTCGTCGGCCGTACCCTCGTCGGCCACGCCCTTGTCGGCCACGAGGACCTCCCAGAATCGGATCCTATACTTACTCATTTGTACAGCCCATTAGTGGCTTTGTATTCGGCCCAGTAGCGGTCCAGTTGTAAATGGGCCTCCCAAGCCCAAGGCTTGGGAGCCCAACCCTAATTTTCTCTATAAATACTCCCCTTGGGAGTAGTTATAGGGGTTACAAAATCATTCTATTGAAGCATATTATTGCACTTCTCTCTCTAGCTCTCACTTCTCTCTAGAATCTAGGAGTTAATACTCCATCATTTGGTGCTCTCGTTGAGAGCTAGAACAATCAAGTTAGCACCCTTCGTCGCTACCAAGCACAGCTAACCACTGATCATGGGGAGAACTAAGTCAAACCGCAACCTCGTCAGCAAAGTCATCCCTGAGGACCAAGAGCCCAGGGAGCACGATGAGGAAGCCACGGCCGACCAGGTCGGCGGAGGGGACCTCTTCCAGGAGGCCTTCAACCTCACGACGGACCTCCGCAACCAACTCAACGGCGGAGTCCCCGACGCCCGCCTCAGCCTGGAAAAGAAACGAGCTGAGAAAGCGGACCACGCCCCGGCCCAGCCTATGGCCACGGCCTCTCCGTCCGTAGATCCTCAGGTCCAGGCCGCACTGTCGGCTATCATCGCCAGCTTGGCTCAGAATCCCACCGTCCTCAGCGCACTCTTGCCAAGGACCGGGGGAAACGTCACTCCGCCTCCTCATCCCCAACCACTGACCGACCAGATAGGCAACAATGAGGGGGTTGTGGCCCAGGACACGGCGTCGTCCCATTCCCACCCTGCTTCCCCTCTTCGGCCCGGGCAGACCCCAGCGCGTGGAAAAGCCTCTGCCTTCAATAGGCTTGGTGACACGCGCCGTCGTCCGGTTTCGGAGAGGATGGCGGGACGGATTGGTGATCCTCGTCCTGGCTCGCCAAGGGAAAGCTTGGGGTCTGTGTCCCGGACAGCGGACCAGCCCCGCCCGGACAAGGGAAAGGGAAAGTTGCATGAAGATGACGTGCGACACCAGATCAACGTGGCTCACAACGAGCGCTTGAGGAACCAGCCGGGTGGCGCTACGGCCGCCAGGGACCCCCGAGACGAGGTCATCGCCCAGCTGGAGAAGAGGCTGGCTCAGATGGAGGCCAAGCAGTCGGCCAACGTCCCCACGGCCGGCGCCTCCAACGACCCCGGCCTCAACGCGCTCATGAACAAAGTCAGCGCCCCGGAGAGGGAGCTGGCCGAGGGGCGAGGTGACCCCATCATCCAGGTCAGGACTAGGACCCCTTTCACGACCAGGGTCCTCTCGGCCCCCATCCCTGAGAAATACAGGGGGAACGCCATCAAGTCCTATGATGGCCGATGAGACCCCCAGGAGCACTTCAGCCGCTATCAAAACAACATGCTGATGGTTAATGCGTCAGACGAATACCTCTGTCGTTGGTTCCTCTCTACTCTCGAGGGGCCAGCGTACGAGTGGTTCAACGGGCTGCCAGAGGGAAGCATTGACTCATGGCAAGATCTCGCCCAACGCTTCCTCACTCACTTCGCCGGAAGGAAGCGCGCCAAGAAGTATTTCACCCACCTCCTCTCCGTCAAACAGCAGCACGAGGAGTCCCTCCGGTCATTCATCGACCGATGGACGAGGGAGACCGAGGAGGTCGAGGGGGCCGATGAGCGCACCCTCCTCGCCTTGTACCAGGGAGCCCTCCGCAGCTCCCCGTACGCCAGGAGCCTCATCACCGACCCCCCGAGGTCGTACACCAAGGCGCTCCAGCGCGGAGGCTTGTACGCCGACGCCGACGAGCTCCACAATCACAAAAGAGAGGGGGGCCATCCCCCCAAGAAGACAAATCCTTCGCCGGCCTCGGGTCCGTCCCCGGCCGGCCAGGGTGCCCAGGGCCGCCACGGCTCTGGTGGACAAAGTAAGAAAGACCGCCACTGGCGGCCGAGGCTGGAACGGCCGGGGGTAGCCCTCACCCACCCGGTCGGCACCATCCTCGACTATGCCGAGAAGCACGGCCTCATCGAGCAGGCTCCTCGGCCGGCCGAGGAGGTCCTGGCCATCCAACAGGGCGGCACGTATTGCCGGTTCCACAAGAACTCGTCGCACAACACCGACGATTGCATCACGTTGAAGAAGGCCATCGAGCGCCTTATTCGCCAGGGGGAACTCTCCCAGTTTGTCAAAGGTGGCCCACGTAAAAACACTTGGGTAAACACCGGCAAACGTGGGGGCGAACCCTCTGCGAAGAAGCGCGAGATTGGTAGGCTCAGCGACGACGAGGACTTCGAGGAGCCTCCGCCGAAGAAGAATCACATCAACCTCATCGTAGGCGGGAACACTGGGGGGGACTCCGCCACTCAGAGAAGGAAATGGGCCCAATCCCTTTACATTGGAGAGGTGTCCCACGTCCCCCCCCCCCCCAGCCGAAGAAGCAGCGGGCGGAGGCTATCACCTTCACCAACAAGGATCTGCCTCCGGGTACGGAGTCACACAGGGACGCCCTCGTCATCCGATGTGAGATCGGTGACTCCATCATCCACCACACTTACATCGATACGGGGAGCTCCGTCAACGTGATGTACCTAGACACCTTCAAGCAGCTGAAGCTGGACAGAGCTCTGCTGAAGCCGATCAAGACCCCGTTATCCGGCTTCACCGGGGACTCTATCGACGACGAGGGCACGATAGTCCTCCCCGTGGAAGTCGGTGACGGCCCCCACCATGCCAAAATTGACATGGAGTTCATGGTGGTCAACCTCCAGTGCGCCCACAACCTGATCTTGGGCCGACCAGCGCTGGAGGACTTGGAGGCCATCATCTCCATGAAGCACCTATGCTTGAAGTTTCCCACCAATGACGGCATCGGCTACGCCAGAGGAAACCAGAGGATAGCCAGAGCTTATTACCTCAAGCTGACGAGGCCGGCCGAAAGGGAAGGGCAGCGGATAGACACCATCACGGCCGCCGTCGCCATGGACGAGGAGAGGCCACATGCAGAGCCAACCGAGGAGGTCGAGGAAATCCCTCTGGATACCTCCCGGCTGGAGCGGGTTCTCAGGGTCGGAAAGCAACTCCCCCAGGACCAGCGAGATGCCATCCTCCTCGTCCTACGGTCATACGCCGTGGTCTTCGCGTGGGGCCCGGACGACATGCCCGGCATCAGCCGCCAGGTGATCACTCACCGGCTGACCGTCGATCCGGCCTCCGCGCCCGTCAAACAGAAGCGGCGCTACTTGTCCGCTGACAGGCGGGACTTCGTCAAAGGGGAGGTCGCCATGCTCCTATCGATCAGACATATCAAAGAGGTGAAGTACCCAACATGGTTGGCCAACGTCGTCCTCGCACAGAAACCGCCGACGTTCAGAATGTGTGTTGACTACACTGACCTGAACAAGGCATGCCCCATGGACCCGTTCCCTCTCCCCAACATTGATCAGTTGGTGGACGAGACGGCGGGATGCGAGTTGATGTCGTTCCTCGACGCTTTCAGAGGATACCACTAGATCTCCATGCACGAAGATGACGCCGAGAAGACGGCATTCATGACCCCAGAGGGGATATTTTGCTACCTCGTCATGGCCTTCGGACTCAAAAACTCCGGCGCCACCTATACTAGGATGGTGGCCAAAATCTTCAGAGCGGTCCTTGGCCGGACGATGGAGGCGTACGTCGACGACATGATCGTCAAGAGCAGGCAGGCCACCTCCCACGCCGACGACCTCCGGGAAATCTTTGAAATCATGAAGGAGTTCAGGCTCCGCCTTAACCCCAAGAAGTGAGCCTTCGGCGTCCAGGGC